ATATCTATTTCTTTCTCTTTTGCCCAATCTACTAAATGTAAGAGCTTATGATTGTTTGATTTAAGTCCATTGATATTGTGGCATGCTAACTTTAATTCACAGTCTAGGGCATTTGTAGTTATTTTAAGTGATATTTGCCTAATTTTTTTTATATAATAATTTTATAATTTATTTTTAATATACAAAATTTTGTAATTTGATTAGTTAATTATATATACATGTTATATAAAAAAAACAAGTTAATATTTATAATTTTAAAAAAAAATTTTAAATATATAAATTATTAACATTTAATAATTTTATTTTTGTAATTTGGTTAGTAAATCATTTAAATTACATATTAGCAATATATTATACTATATAGATAAATAACAGTTCTTTAAATATATTTAAACTATAATTATAAAATATTAAAAAATAGTTTAAATCTAAAGCATATTAAATTATTTATATAAATTTATATTGAGATTTTTTTGTCTTGAAATCACGTTATAGAACATAGTAGTTTGTATGTTCTATGACACGATTTTCAGGGCAAAGACCCTATATTTTATGTATTTTATTAAAATAATAAATAATATTAGTATTTAATCCAATATATGGTAACTTTACTAATAAAATTTAAAATATTTTTATTTAGAATACTAAATATTAATTGCTTAGCTAGTATTTTTGAGATACGTATAATAACAGTGATTTTACGTAGGGCTCTGCAAATAACTATCAAAAATGGTGCCGGGCACATACCCGAACCTATTAAAACATAATGGCTGTGCTTAGCACCTGCAGAGCCTTAAACACTATACGTACGTATAGTATTATTTAGTAAAACTTTGTTACCGTATATGTATATGTAAACTTTTTAAAATTAATCCCGATTTGAAATTTTTTAAAAAAATTTAGAATTGACCGTTTAATCTGCCGCATAAAAATTAATCCATAGTATCGAACCGTATCACGTTAATCACGGACCTAAAAATAAACTTAATGCAAAGCAGAATCGATTAGCATAGTTAAACGGTTAATAAAAATTTTTAGATGGTGATCAAATAATAGATAACCATTCAAAAAGTAAAATTGATAGTGAAAATTGAAATTTTTATAGAATAGTTCAATCATGAGATGGACTAAGTAGTTTTTGTTCATATTTCAAAAATATCAGTTGTAATGATTTACAAATTTGATATTTGATAGATTTTTTGACGATTAAAGAAAATTAGAAACATAAAATTTTTAAAGTTTCACAAAACAAGAAAATCGTTTGTCAAAAAAATACGTATTACAGTAGAAATATTAAATATTCCTTGTTTTAAAATACTCCTTGTTTGTGAACTATATAAAAACTCGTGATTTTATAATACAACAAATTAAGTTAGACAAAGTTATTGTATAAATTAAGATTGAATTTTTTTAAATTATGATTATAAAAAAATTTTAGAATGTGAAAATCAAACCTATCCTTTAAAATGGCCGATTCTTAAGTTACAAATTTTTTAAAATAGTAACGATTGAAAGTTAGTAAACAAAATTCATATAACTTATAAGTAGATTAGTGAATGAAAATCGGTGACCCAAAAAATAAGGTATGAATGTCTATTTATCTGTTATCAGTTATTCGGGGACGTACGTACTGTACATACGTAACTATAGCAGATATATAGTAAGATATGATACTCAAAATTTAAATGGACACAAAAATAGTTCGATGTTGCTGTCAAAATATATTAAAGGTTTATCAGGTTGACCTTTCTCACAAGCAAATTAAGTCATTAATATAAGTAAAATTTTATTATAATTTTTAATAATGTAATCGAGTTAGTTGAAGACAAAATAAATAAATAAAAATGATAGATCACGAGATTCAATCAACCGATATTAATTTTAATAAAATAAAAATAAATAAGTTTAACAAAATGATCGATTTCACTAATAATCTTGGTTATAACATTACCAAATTTTAATAAAGAACCACGTTGTGATCTGTGTAAGATCGAGCCGAATATGACTTTCAAAAATCGTTAGATCATCTATTATAACAAAGATTTTAGGATAAAAATGAGTAAAAAATGAGTAAAAAAAAAAAAAAAACATTAAATAATAAATTTAGAAAATAATAAAAAAAAAAACCGTAAATTATAAAAATGATAATAACAGATAATAAATAATAACATGTTTACGATTACATGATTAATAAAAATAGATCAATAATTGTAATGTATATAATGAGTATTTGATTCTAATTATTATATTACATACAATATTAAATCGGAAAAATAGTCTCGATGAAATTATCTGTTTTAATGAAGTTTATAGAGTAAAATTACATACCTGTCCAAGTCAGGTTTAAAAATAGTATAAGTTAGCAAGGTCTAACTTTTTATCTTGTAAAGGAACAAATATGCATAAAGACATTTGTGTTAATTTTATTGCTTGTTTCTTGATCGCCATATTTAGTATTAAGGTACTTACGTAATCCTTTCACGTAGGAACAGCGTGATTGGCAGACGATTACATGTTGTTGTACGGAATCCAGAAATCAAGAAAAATCAATTACATAAATCAGAAACTAGGGTAGGAGTTGGGGTTTCAGGTCAGGTCGTTTAAAGTTTTCGCATGTTCGTTCAATGAACTCGAGAACGTACATGACTTACTTTGTATGCCTTCCTATTTTACCTTTTCTTGTATTTAGCATATTCACTTTTTATAAATTTAGAGTCAACCATTTTTCCGCTTTATTTTATTTATATCTGAGAAACAGATCAGTACGCAGTTATTTTTTTTCTTTCCAGCCCATTATATGTCTGCAGTTTCTGCAAACAATACAATGGTATCTTCTGGAAAAGATGGTTCTAGCTCAACCAATGTTGCATCGTCAGTCACTTCGGTGTCACCTTCTGCACTAGTTCATTCAAACCGATCCGTATATGGTGTTTGGGAATTTTTTAACATACAAGTCCCTACCTTCTCTTTCGCCTCAGTTTCGTCCATGTTGTCCATGTTGATCGTCGTGACGATCTTAATTTTAGCTTTAGCAATCATGCATAAGGTATTGTATACATTTTATTTCGTGTATTATTGGTATTACTATCGATTTTTTTTATATATATAAAAAATTTTATTGGGAAATTGTCTTTATATATGCGAAGATATTTGAAGATATTAAAGAACACATTAAATATATAAAAATTTATGAATGGGATATTAAATTAAATTTTAAGAAATTTATCATATATAGTTTAATTTAATGAATGAAAAATTTGATGATATACGTGTTAAAAAAAAGCTTTTTATAATAGCATGTAGACTAAAAAAAAAAAAAAAAATTTTTTTTTTTTTTTTATTTTATTTTATTTTAGCATGTGGTTAAGACCAGTTGGAGTTCCCAGCAGCTAAGCGAAAAATTTAGATTGTACATGGCTGGATCCATGGTAGGGGATGCTGCTCGGCGAATGTTTAATGGATGGACGAGGTCACGACAAGAAGAAGATGCCGTGACAATTTCAAATAGGGACGAAAAAAATAGACGATTATCATTGGACATGTCATCATCGTCTTCAATATCATTGTCTCCGTCCGAACCTGTTGTAGATGATACAGCACCGCGACTACATAAAAAGGCATCGAATACTCGTTTACCATCTCATAGACGTCCAAATTTTCGGTCAAAATCACAACCACTTTCACCTATAGCTATGGATGATAATCCATCTACAATTTCATCTAACGATGATCAATTGATCGATCAGTCAACGGAAACGGATGAGTCAAAAATAACAGTGACGATAAACGTTTCGGATCCTCGATCAGAACATCAAGAAATTAATTACGAAATTGGTGGTGGTGGTATTTCTGTGAATCAACTTAATCAAAATTTCGAAGATTCCAACAACAATAATCAAGAAATCAATTCGAGGAATGGATCTTGTCAAACTTCGGTAACAAATAGTGACGAAACAAATAGTCACATAAATTTTGATAATTTAGTTTCACCACTAATACCTACAACGAATGATAATAATATACCGACACAGTTAAATAAAAAAAATTCCAAACCAAAATTGAAGGTGCAACGACCACAAAAAGAACAAAATGGTTTTTTTACAACTCAAGAAAGTGAAGGTGAAATTGAATCATCATCATCTTCTATACCGAATACACCAAAGAATGGACAAGATTCTACACAAGAAGGAAATTTTGTAAAACAAGGTAATAGGAGACGACGAAGAAAAACAAAGAATTCTAGAAATAATTCTCAACAGAATTCTCAACAAGAAATTAATCATTCAGAACAACAAAAATCATTATCGTCGAAACATGATAATATTCAACAAAATATTAATGGATTACCAAGATCACGACAATCCGATGAGATGTCATATACTACTAATTGGGATAAATCAACACATGATCAACAATATAATCATCCTCAACAACCTCGTAAATTGATGAAAACGGATGATTATAATAATTGGCAAAAATCCTTGCATACAGAACCAACGCAATATCAAACACATCAAACACATCAGACACATCAGACACATCAAACACAATCGCATCATTCACAACAACAACAACAACGTCCTGATCAATCAACGTATTACATGCAAGGAAATAAACGAAATGAAGTAATTTTTCATTCAACAAATAATTCTGGTACAACTATTCCAGCTAAAGTTACTTTACCAGATATAAACAAAAAAAAAACTACGGAATTTCCAAGACGAAATTCCCAATCAAATATCTCATCAAATTCTTCAATGAATAGATTTATTTCTTATGCTGGAGCTATTTCATCTCAAAATCGACCACCTCCTATTACGACGAAAATTTCTCACGAAATTCCTTCAACTTTACCTGTTTTACCTGTTGATAGTAATATTACAGCACCTGTACCAGCAGCATCATCCGTAAGGAGTTCAACGGATCATCAATGGTATTCACCTTTTGGATCAGGTCTTTCAATTCAATTTAATTCACCGGTACCACCGGAAGATATCCATAATAAATGGACATCAAATACATCAGCTTCACTGTTTTCTTCACCGATGTTAACATCATCAAATAATCGTGGAACCTCTACTACACCATCTTCTCCAATATCTACATCAAATGAAACATCATCAATTTCAATGTTTGCATCATCACCTTTTTCAACTTTAACGAATCATGAACGACGAAATTCCAATATTTCATTACAAACGCGTCATTTAACAAATTTTGGTAACGTTCATGATCAAGAAAAAGGAGAAGCATTTACAACCACAACAACAACAACAACCACCACAGCGGCGGCAGCAGCAGCAGCAGAGAAAGAATTGAACGTAACAGATGAGATGATACGGGGAAGAAATTTTAAAGGCAAAATTTTGAATAATAAAAATAAGATGAGTGAGGGTATGATAAACACGGATCAGGGTCAAAATGTACCGCAATTCTCATTGTTTGATAAACAATTATCATTCCGCATGTATCCATCAAAATCTTAGCTGATTTGTATGATTTTTTTTATAAATATATAACAGATAAGAGCGATTAAAAAAAATTTTTTTGAAATTCATACATTTTTGGTTAATCATTTGTTTTACTCTGTACTTTATTTGAAAAAAAAAAAAAAAAAAAAATTATAACAATGAAATATAATTAATATCATAAATTACTATATCATCTTATCTAAGTCATAAATATTATTGTAATCCGACAATAATGTCATTTATGATCAATTAGATGTTCTCAAACAATGACTTATAGAATGGTCTAATTGGCCAAAAAAAACAAATCATGATGTTTAAGTCAAAATAAAACCTAGACCTATCATTACATATACTAAATCAACAAAGTCGAC